ATATATAGATATACAATTATATACATATATATATATGTATATATTGTACACATAATTTCTATATATATATACATCTCCAGTAATCAAATGTGGCGTGCTGAAAAATTCCCCATTTCTAGACCATTTTCCCAGTGACACCGAAACATCATAGGTGCATCACTTGGGATGAAAACCCCACCAGTTGTAAGTTGGTTTATAACCCCGTGGAAAATGGCCCATAGAAATAGATGATTTTCCCAGCGGACTAAACCTCCATTTATGGTTGGCTTTTTCCATGGCTATGTAACAAATAACCAGATGGTAAATATGACTATAAATATCATACACTATTGGTATTATAGTTATGAACCAACTTAGCTAACTATGGGGCCCCATCCTGTAGTTATATGGCGTCAAAACCCTGGCCGCTGGATGGTACCCTAAGTCATGGCTGGTATAGCTGGATGGTTCTTCCCCCAGTCATATGGTAGATTCATACGAGTGGTGCTCCCCAGTTACATTTTTTTTTCTTTTTAAATATAAACCATAATAAACCCCATTAACTGTAGCTACCATAAACCCAATCGAATTCAGCCACTTTATCACTTTTCTGTTCGGCAACGGTTCACGCTATCGACTGGGGGGCCCCCATCCTGTAGGATCTGACCCACCTTTTTTTGTGGCCCAGGTTTCCCCAGGTTTCATGGCTCCCCATTTCCCATATTGGTGAACTCTCCAACAAGGTGCTGCCCCGTTATAAGCTGGTGAATTAAAACCCCATTGACTAGAGATATATCTACCAGGATCAACCGCTCTTGTTGACCTATTCTGTCGCACGTTCGTCTTTTTGGCTTCGGGAAGCATCGAACTTTGAGCCTGGAGCTGGAACAGCCACGTGCATTTTCAGTGGGCAAAAGTTGGTATAGGCCACGACCCCAACATCTGCTTGAGCGACTGCTGATCTGCTCAGGATGAACTGCTGGGTCAGCATCCCAAACTGCTCACATAGCTTAACATTCAAAGAGAAAATTCAAATTAGATTCAATAGATCTAGATTTGGTTAATATAGACTTAGATGTAGTCTTTCCAACACAAAGCGGCTTCTATGATTCTCCTAGAAATGCTCTGACTAGACCCTTGCAGAGAAGCTTCTATGATTATTCTCCTCGCAGCAGTATTCATCCGGCAAGCTGCCCTCCGTCTGTGGGATCTTGCGCATGGAAATCTAGGAAGAACATGTCTGATTCAGGTTGGATATTCATGTCAAACTACATGTGTTAAACAAAATATACATTGCATTGCATTGCATTACCTCATTCCTGCACTGTTTGACGTGTACGTTTACATTTGCGTTTGCCAGTTACATTACATTTACAATTTACAATACATGTTTTTATTTTGTTAAAATTGTTTGCTATTCACGCATGCCGTAATCCGCCGACCCCTGCCTAGCCTTGGCCTAGGCGGGGTGGCGCCTGGGATCACCGTAGGTGTGCGGCGTGGCCCTGTGCTGGCTTTACCATGGTACCTTTGCATACGGCCGCATGGCACGTTTTGGGCAAGCCTTAAAACCTTCAAAAGCCTCGCAGCAGCTTTCGAAGGCCTCAGCACCGCACAACCCTCCGCAGCAGCCCTCCCTATTGGCCCCACAAGCTGTTTCTATTGGGCTTCGAAACTGCCGCGTGGCACGTTTTGGGCAGGCCTTAAAACCTTCAAAAGCCTCGCAGCAGCTTTCGAAGGCCTCAGCACCGCACAACCCTCCGCAGCAGCTCTCGAAGCGTCCTGCTGGCTTTGCCATGGTGCCTCCATGTGCCTTTCTATTATTGGGCTTCGAAACTGCCGCGTGGCACGTTTTGGGCAGGCCTTAAAACCTTCAAAAGCCTCGCAGCAGCTGTCGCAGGCCTCAGCACCGCACAACCCTCCGCAGCAGCTCTCGAAGCGTCCTGCTGGCTTTGCCATGGTGCCTCCATGTGCCTTTCTATTGGCCCCAAAAGCTGTTTCTATTGGGCTTCGAAACTGCCGCGTGGCACGTTTTGGGCACCCTTAAAACCTTCAAAAGCCTCGCAGCAGCTTTCGAAGGCCTCAGCACCGCACAACCCTCCGCAGCAGCTCTCGAAGCGTCCTGCTGGCTTTGCCATGGTGCCTCCATGTGCCTTTCTATTGGCCCTACAAGCTGTTTCTATTGGGCTTCGAAACTGCCGCGTGGCACGTTTTGGGCAGGCCTTAAAACCTTCAAAAGCCTCGCAGCAGCTTTCGCAGGCCTCAGCACCGCACAACCCTCCGCAGCAGCTCTCGAAGCGTCCTGCTCTGTTTCTATTGGCTTCGAAACTGCCGCGTGGCACGTTTTGGGCAGGCCTTAAAACCTTCAAAAGCCTCGCAGCAGCTTTCGAAGGCCTCAGCACCGCACAACCCTCCGCAGCAGCTCGCGAAGTGTGCTGCTGGTTTTGCCATGGTGCCTCCCTATTGGCCCAAAAAGCTGTTTCTATTGGGCTTCGAAACTGCCGCGTGGCACGTTCTAGGCAGGCCTTAAAACCTTCAAAAGCATCGCAGCAGCTTTCGAAGGCCTCAGCACCGCACAACCCTCCGCAGCAGCTCTCGAAGCGTCCTGCTGGCTTTGCCATGGTGCCTCCAGGTGCCTTTCTATTGGCCCTACAAGCTGTTTCTATTGGGCTTCGAAACTGCCGCGTGGCACGTTTTGGGCACCCCTTAAAACCTTCAAAAGCCTCGCAGCAGCTTTCGAAGGCCTCAGCACCGCACAACCCTCCGCAGCAGCTCTCGAAGCGTCCTGCTGGCTTTGCCATGGTGCCTCCATGTGCCTTTCTATTGGCCCTACAAGCTGTTTCTATTGGGCTTCGAAACTGCCGCGTGGCACGTTTTGGGCAGGCTCGCAGCAGCTTTCGAAGGCCTCAGCACCGCACAACCCTCCGCAGCAGCTCTCGCAGCGTGCTGCTGGCTTTGCCCTATTGGCCCCAAAAGCTGTTTCTATTGGGCTTCGAAACTGCCGCGTGGCACGTTTTGGGCAGGCCTTAAAACCTTCAAAAGCCTCGCAGCAGCTTTCGAAGGCCTCAGCACCGCACAACCCTCTGCAGCAGCTCTCGAAGCGTCCTGCTGGCTTTGCCATGGTGCCTCCATGTGCCTTTCTATTGGCCCTACAAGCTGTTTCTATTGGGCTTCGAAACTGCCGCGTGGCACGTTTTGGGCAGGCCTTAAAACCTTCAAAAGCCTCGCAGCAGCTTTCGAAGGCCTCAGCACCGCACAACCCTCCGCAGCAGCTCTCGAAGTGTGCTGCTGGTGTTGCCATGGTGCCTCCCTATTGGCCCCAAAAGCTGTTTCTATTGGGCTTCGAAACTGCCGCGTGGCACGTTTTGGGCAAGCCTTAAAACGCTCAAAAGCTTCGCAGCAGCTTTCGAAGGCCTCAGCACCGCACAACCGTCCGCAGCAGCTCTCGAAATGTGCTGCTGGTTTTGCCATGGTGCCTCCCTATTGGCCCCAAAAGCTGTTTCTATTGGGCTTCGAAACTGCCGCGTGGCACGTTTTGGGCAGGCCTTAAAACCTTCAAAAGCCTCGCAGCAGCTTTCGAAGGCCTCAGCACCGCACAACCCTCTGCAGCAGCTCTCGAAGCGTCCTGCTGGCTTTGCCATGGTGCCTCCATGTGCCTTTCTATTGGCCCCAAAAGCTGTTTCTATTGGGCTTCGAAACTGCCGCGTGGCACGTTTTGGGCACCCCTTAAAACCTTCAAAAGCCTCGCAGCAGCTTTCGAAGGCCTCAGCACCGCACAACCCTCCGCAGCAGCTCTCGAAGCGTCCTGCTGGCTTTGCCATGGTGCCTCCATGTGTTTCTATTGGCCCTATACAAGCTGTTTCTATTGGGCTTCGAAACTGCCGCGTGGCACGTTTTGGGCAAGCCTTAAAACCTTCAAAAGCCTCGCAGCAGCTTTCGCAGGCCTCAGCACCGCACAACCCTCCGCAGCAGCTCTCGCAGCGTCCTGCTCTGTTTCTATTGGGCTTCGAAACTGCCGCGTGGCACGTTTTGGGCAGGCCTTAAAACCCTCAAAAGCCTCGCGAAGGCCTCAGCACCGCACAACCCTCCGCAGCAGCTCTCGAAATGTGCTGCTGGTGTTGCCATGGTGCCTCCCTATTGGCCCAAAAAGCTGTTTCTATTGGGCTTCGAAACTGCCGCGTGGCACGTTCTAGGCAGTCCTTAAAACCTTCAAAAGCATCGCAGCAGCTTTCGAAGGCCTCAGCACCGCACAGCCGTCCGCAGCAGCTCTCGAAGCATCCTGCTGGCTTTGCCATGGTGCCTCCATGTGCCTTTCTATTGGCCCTACAAGCTGTTTCTATTGGGCTTCGAAACTGCCGCGTGGCACGTTTTGGGCACCCCTTAAAACCTCCAATATTAGAAAAAAACATGTGGAAACACACTTCTCTCTCTCTTTCTCTCTCTCTCTCTCTCTCTCTCTCTTTCTCTCTCTCTCTCTCTCTGAGCAGAAGGGGCCCATGGAATCGGTGAACCCAGTACGGGACCATTTTTGTTCAAATCTCTCTTTTCAATCCATGTATATCACAACAATCCGTACAAGATGCGTGTCACTTGTGTGTCACTGAGGTTTCGAGCTGGAATGAAAGAGGTCACACCCTGAAAAGGTCACTTAAGCCTTGAAAAGGTCACTTAAGGATTCGCTGTCTGCGTGTCACCTGCGTGTCACTTGCGTCTCACTGGTAGGCCACTGTTTGGTTCGTTTCCTTACGTGACCTCTTTCTACGTTTTCCTTAACTGACCTCTTTCTAAAGGCCACTTAGCAGAAAACACAAACCAGGTCACAAGGAATCGTCTGGCAACTGTGTCTTTCTTCGCTGTAAGATTTTCAAACCCTACCTAGCCCCCCCCCTTGATGAGGGGGTCGGCGGCACCAGGGCGTTAGCCCATTTATTATGAAAACGTATGAAAAAGTATACGGTTTAAAACGCATATGCGTTTCACATCTAGGAGCTACACAAATATTAAATGAATATCCCCTTCTTTCAGGCACAAGATGCGGTCAGGTCAGGACTTTGCTGCCATCGGATGCGACCAGACGGATAGATTCGGGCAGGGTTGAAACTGGCTCTATTCTGTCGCACGTTCGTCTTTTTGGCTTCGGGAAGCATCGAACTTGTGGGCAAAAACGCCCGGAACCGGGATGGAGGTTGGTATAGGATGGTATAGGCACATCACGAGATGCGCCCCCCAACCACGACCACAACATCTGCTTGAGCGACTGCTGATCTGCTCAGGATGAACTGCTGGGTCAGCATCCCAAACTGCTCACATAGCTTAACATTCAAAGAGAAAATTCAAATTAGATTCAATAGATCTAGATTTGGTTAATATAGACTTAGATGTCGTCTTTCCAACACAAAGCGGCTTCTATGATTCTCCTAGAAATGCTCTGCCTAGACCCTTGCAGAGAAGTTTCTATGATTATTCTCCTCGCAGCAGTATTCATCCGGCAAGCTGCCCTCCGTCTGTGGGATCTTGCGCATGGAAATCTAGGAAGAACATGTCTGATTCAGTTTGGATATTCATGTCAAACTACATTTGTTAAACAACATATACATTGCATTGCATTGCATTACCTCATTCCTGCACTGTTTGACGTGCACGTTTACATTTGCAATACATCTTTTTTATTGTGTTAAAATTGTTTGCTATTCACGCATGCCATAATTATGAAAACGTATGAAAAAGATTGAAAAAGTATACCGTTTAAAACGCATATGCGTTTCACATCTAGGAGCTACACAGATATTAAATGAGTATCCCCTTCTTTCAGGCACAAGATGCGGTCGGGTCTCGACTTTGCTGCCATCGGATGCAATCAGACGGATAGATTCGGGCAGGGGTGTTAAACTCGCTCTTGACCTATTCTGTCGCACGTTCGTCTTTTTGGCTTCGGGAAGCATCGAACTTTGAGCCTGAAGCTGGAACCGTCACGTGCATTTTCAGTGGGCAAAAACGCCCGGAACCGGGATGGAGGAAGTTGGTATAGTATAGGCACATCACGGGATGCGCCCCAACCACGACCACAACATCTGCTTGAGCGACTGCTGATCTGCTCAGGATGAACTGCTGGGTCAGCATCCCAAACTGCTCACATAGCTTAACATTCAAAGAGAAAATTCAAATTAGATTCAATAGATCTAGATTTGGTTAATATAGACTTAGATGTAGTCTTTCCAACACAAAGCGGCTTCTATGATTCTCCTAGAAATGCTCTGACTAGACCCTTGCAGAGAAGCTTCTATGATTATTCTCCTCGCAGCAGTATTCATCCGGCAAGCTGCCCTCCGTCTGTGGGATCTTGCGCATGGAAATCTAGGAAGAACATGTCTGATTCAGGTTGGATATTCATGTCAAACTACATTTGTTAAACAACATATACATTGCATTGCATTGCATTACCTCATTCCTGCACTGTTTGACGTGTACGTTTACATTTGCAATACATCTTTTTTATTGTGTTAAAATTGTTTGCTATTCACGCATGCCATAATTATGAAAACGTATGAAAAAGATTGAAAAAGTATACCGTTTAAAACGCATATGCGTTTCACATCTAGGAGCTACACAGATATTAAATGAGTATCCCCTTCTTTCAGGCACAAGATGCGGTCGGGTCACGACTTTGCTCCCATCGGCTGCGATCAGACGGATAGATTCGGGCAGGGTTGAAACTCGCTCTTGACCTATTCTGTCGCACATTCGACTTTTTGGCTTCTGAGCCACTGCTGATCTGCTCAGGATGAACTGCTGGGTCAGCATCCCAAACTGCTCACATAGCTTAACATTCAAAGAGAAATTTCAAATTAGATTCAATAGATCTAGATTTGGTTAATATAGACTTAGATGTAGTCTTTCCAACACAAAGCGGCTTCTATGATTCTCCTAGAAATGCTCTGACTAGACCTTTGCAGAGAAGCTTCTATGATTATTCTCCTCGCAGCAGTATTCATCCGGCAAGCTGCCCTCCGTCTGTGGGATCTTGCGCATGGAAATCTAGGAAGAACATGTCTGATTCAGGTTGGATATTCATGTCAAACTACATTTGTTAAACAACATATACATTGCATTGCATTGCATTACCTCATTCCTGCACTGTTTGACGTGTACGTTTACATTTGCAATACATCTTTTTTATTGTGTTAAAATTGTTTGCTATTCACGCATGCCATAATTATGAAAACGTATGAAAAAGATTGAAAAAGTATACGGTTTAAAACGCATATGCGTTTCACATCTAGGAGCTACACAGATATTAAATGAGTATCCCCTTCTTTCAGGCACAAGATGCGGTCGGGTCGCGACTTTGCTGCCATCGGCTGCGATCAGACGGATAGATTCGGGCAGGGTTGAAACTCGCTCTCGACCTATTCTGTCACACATTCGACTTTTTGGCTTCTGAGCCACTGCTGATCTGCTCAGGATGAACTGCTGGGTCAGCATCCCAAACTGCTCACATAGCTTAACATTAAAGAGAAAATTCAAATTAGATTCAATAGATCTAGATTTGGTTAGTATAGACTTAGATGTAGTCTTTCCAACACAAAGCGGCTTCTATGATTCTCCTAGAAATGCTCTGACTAGACCCTTGCAGAGAAGCTTCTATGATTATTCTCCTCGCAGCAGTATTCATCCGGCAAGCTGCCCTCCGTCTGTGGGATCTTGCGCATGGAAATCTAGGAAGAACATGTCTGATTCAGGTTGGATATTCATGTCAAACTACATTTGTTAAACAACATATACATTGCATTGCATTGCACTACCTCATTCCTGCACTGTTTGACGTGTACGTTTACATTTGCGTTTGCCAGTTACATTACATTTACAATACATTTTGTTTATTGTGTTAAAATTGTTTGCTATTCACGCATGCCATAATTATGAAAACGTATGAAAAAGTATACGGTGTAAAACGCATGTGCGTTTCACATCTAGGAGCTATACAAATATTGAGTATCCCCTTCTTTCAGGCACAAGATGCGATCGGGTCGCGACTTTGCTGCCATCGGATGCGATCAGACGGATAGATTCGGGCAGGGTTGAAACTCGCTCTTGACCTATTCTGTCGCACATTCGACTTTTTGGCTTCTGAGCCACTGCTGATCTGCTCAGGATGAACTGCTGGGTCAGCATCCCAAACTGCTCACATAGCTTAACATTCAAAGAGAAAATTCAAATTAGAATCAATAGATCTAGATTTGGTTAGTATAGACTTAGATGTAGTCTTTCCAACACAAAGCGGCTTCTATGATTCTCCTAGAAATGCTCTGACTAGACCCTTGCAGAGAAGCTTCTATGATTATTCTCCTCGCAGCAGTATTCATCCGGCAAGCTGCCCTCCGTCTGTGGGATCTTGCGCATGGAAATCTAGGAAGAACATGTCTGATTCAGGTTGGATATTCATGTCAAACTACATTTGTTAAACAACATATACATTGCATTGCATTGCACTACCTCATTCCTGCACTGTTTGACGTGTACGTTTACATTTGCGTTTGCCAGTTATACATTACATTTACAATACATTTTTTTATTGTGTTAAAGTTGTTTGCTATTCACGCATGCCATAATTATGAAAACATATGAACAAGTATACGGTGTAAAACGCATGTGCGTTTCACATCTAGGAGCTATACAAATATTGAGTATCCCCTTCTTTCAGGCACAAGATGCGGTCGGGTCGCGACTTTGCTGCCATCGGCTGCGATCAGACGGACAGATTCGGGCAGGAACTCGTTCTGGTCTCTTGCATTCTGTGGCTCCATAAATGGGGGACTCCAAAATGGATGGTTTAAATGGAAACATCTTCCTAAAATGGATGATGCAGGATGATTTAGGGGTACCCCATTTTAGGAAACCTTCACGCGAAACTTAGAGTCTTAGAATATTCGACTTAGAGTATTAGAGCCAAACATGTGAATGAGGATCGGAATTGAACGCTGACCTGACTGAGCTGACAGTACGGTACGTTGATGATGTCGATGTCGATGCGCCCGATGTGGCCAATGCGCTCGATGTGACCGATGTGGATGAACCTCTCTCTGTCAGATGCCTTCGGATCAGGTTTTTGGCATAGGAGTTTTGGCGCGCTTCCTGCTGAAGCTCTTGGTGCACTTCGTAGAGACTCTGCGCGGCAAAATGTTGGTTCAGCCGATTCTTGATGCGAAACCGTGCTTGGCCACGCCGCTGTTTCACCTCAGGCACGGCAACCTGATCTGCATGGATTGAATGTGAATATTCACATTCCTCCCCCTTGGCACAACCAGCTGTGTATGAATAGAAGAGGCAGGGATCAAGATAAAGGTCAGCCGGAGCTTCCCTTGAAGGTCTGGAATGATGCACAGCTGTCTCAGCAGTCTCCATGGCTGAAGATGGAGCTGACTCAACCACTGAATCCTCAAAAGCCACAGCCTTCATCTCCTCGTCTCCAGATTGCCCTGACCCTGACTGGCCCGTTTCTTTGCTGGAGTCCCCGGAGGCATCCCGCAGACACTCATTCACATGTAGAACCCATCCTCTGAGATCACCAAGGTCGAGTGTTTCAATGGCAAAAAGTAAACACAACTCTATGCAGCCATGCCTATGAAAAGAAAACAACAATCTTTATGTTGGGGTGGAGATCGCAAGAAATTCAAATGTGATGGTGATGGTGACGGTGATGATGATGATGATGATGATGGTGATCATGATCATGAGCATGATAATGATGATGATCATGGTGATGATGATGATCAGAACCATGATCATGATCATGATGATGATCATGATGATCATAATGATGATAAACATGTTCATGATGATGATCATGATGATGATCATGATGATGATCATGATGATGATGATGACGATGATGATGACGATGATGATCATGATGATGATCATGATGATGATGATCATGGTGATGATCATGATGATGATCATGATGATGATCATGATGATGATGGTGATGATGATCATGATCATGATCATGATCATGATCATGATCATGATCATGATCATGATCATGATCATGATCATGATCATGGTGGTGGTGATGATGATGATGATGCTGGTGATGATGATGATGATTATGATGATTATGATGGTGGTGGTGGTGGTGGTGCTGCTGCTGCTGCTGGTGGTGGTGGTGGTGGTGGTAATGAGCGGGCAAGCAATTTGTTTTTGCGAGCCAGACAACCCTCAAGTGAAGCATTCTCGCATCAAAATCGGACCACCCCCAACCTCTGTCAGAAACAAAACAAATCTCAAGGATTATCAGGGTTTCAAACACTGAAAGACGAAGACAAGAGAGCATAGAACACCTCACTCTGCTCCTGTCAAGGTTGAACTGCTCGACTCTGACGATGATTGGGTGGACCGTTCTGTAGGGCTTGCTCCGGACATGAAACTACCGCTCACCTGACACGCCTGTGGCAAGGCTTTTACCACTGGCCCGAGTAAACATAGATAAACACAAATAAAACTTAATAACCACAATAAACATTCCTCTGGAAGCATGTCTGGGAGATTCTCTAACTACCCTCACGCCCAAAGAACGAACTCCCTTTTTGCAAAAGGGGAATTCTGTAAAACCTTTTCTGTTCCCTCGGGGCTGCCCTTTCGACCAAAAGCATGCTAAAAGCAGCCACGGCACATGTAATGGCACGCTAAACTCACTGAATCACTACCATCCACTGAACCACAAAGTTTACGGGAGACACAACCTGCAAAATGTCCCATGCAAAGCTGATTCTGATACTTTGCAAAGCTACCATTAGTCAGTCATCACTCCGGTCATGTCACAACTCAAGTTATTGGAGCTCCTCCTTGAGGCGAAAGTCCACCACTAAAGTCAGTTGATGTCAATTGTCTGCCACTTCAAGGATACACATCGGGGGCTCAGCTTCAGCGCAAATCAACTGGAAATCACAACGTCCAACTGAACTTTCATCTGAACGAATTCGGAATTCTTTGCTGTCAAAATCTGGCTAAAAATGCTGTGTTTTAGTGTTTCTTTTCACACTTTTGCAGTTGCTCAAAAAACGTCCGTTTTGGATGCTACTGTATCATCTGCCGGTGGACCTGGTGGACCGACTTATGGCAAGCGCATGGCTAAGCCCAAGTACTTTTGAGAAGAAATTGGACATCAAGTTGCCTCTCAAATAACTTAACCATAAACCCATGAAATTGGAGTTATGTTCACCAACTGAACGCTATCATCAATCCCATTTCACCATGTTAAACCCCCCTGTTTCCTTGCTAAATCACCATTTTCCTATGGTTTCTATCGTATCTAGGGGGCACCACCAGTACCTAATTCGGCAGTTTGTGTGCCAAGTCACAGGGCACAGATTTTGGGCTTGTGGAAATGGATGTGCTCGTGCCAGCCATCCGTCAAGGCCCGCGGCTCCGCGTCTGACATTCGGTTTTCCGCGGTGGTGTGAATCTGAGATACCCGCTGGCAAACTAACATAGTTACAGCATGGAAAACCACTATTTTCATTAGGTAAATCAACTATTGTATGTTATGGTATGTTATGGTATCTTGATTGCGGTTTACATTACCGGGGGTTGGTTGCCCCCCCCCATGGAATAGATACAAATTAGAAAACACAACCATTTCACTACAAAATGCAGTGCCAACCTGCTACGAGGAGTCTACAACATGCTGTACTAGGCCAAAAATGGAGCTCTACAAAAAGCATGCTGGAAATTAGATACCTTGAAAATGAGTATCATTTTTTGAAGCTGTGAATGATATGCATTTTGTAGAGGAGCATGTTTTGCCAAAAAACGTGGAATTTCAAAAAACTCACCCAGCATTTTGTAGAGAAAGTGAACTTTCTAACATCCAGCCCTCCCCAGGGATACCACACTCTCAGAGCACCTGCTGCTTTTGAGATCTTGTCTGCGCATGTTTGCGGTTTGTTTTATTTTGTTTGAAACGCATCAAAGTGTTTCAATATCTTTGATTAAGATTGGACTGGACCATGTTGATCCGTTGATGAGCTAAACATTGGGTGTAGGATAGTTTGTGTTTTTTTTTTGCCTCAGGTTTTGGATTTGTTTGGCTTTCTTTCCCGGTACCATTTGCCTTGTGTTTGCAACAGTTTGGAACCAGAACCTGCCATTTTGCATGGTATTTGCTACATTTGGGCATGGTCACTTTGCATTTTGCATGGTATTTGCTACATTTGGCCATATTTCCCTTTCATGTTGCATGGTATTTGTCATATTTTGGCATTTCAACCTCTGATTTGCATGGTATTTGCTACATTGCTTCAAACGTTCATGTGGAAGGTTTTCTGGGAACAAATGATCCTCTTCTACAAAAAGAATGTTAGATTTGGCTTTCTACAAAGTGACGCCTTTGTTTTTCTTAATGCCAAGAGTTAGACTCTACAAAATGCTGTTCCACCTCATCTATCTGAAAACATCCGCTCTCTACAAAATGCTTGTTGGAAAATATAGGTTCCAAAAAGACGTCTGTTCTCTACAAAGTGGGGGGAGCAAGGTCAATTTTCTTTACATTTTGAGGCCCGAAAACGCCATTGTACAGGGGGTCAACCCACCCCTAAAGGTAGAGAAAATCTGAACCCCCATGTATCTTGAATATTTTGAATATGGTATGTTATGGTATCTTTATAGCAAGATATGATTGTTGAACATGGTAAACCACCTAACATAGCAGGAAAAACATTCATAAATCATTAAACTGGTTGGTGGTTGACCTACCCCTCTGAAAAATATGAAAGCCAGTTGGGGTTATTATTCCCAATATTGGAAAATAAAACATGTTCCAAACCACCAACCAGCATGGAATATCATGGAATGGGATATATCACCAACAATATTGATAACCCCTGGTAATTCAACAGTTTGCTATTGAAAATGGTTTTTCATAGTTGATTTACCCATTGAACATGGTGATTTTCCATAGCTAGAGGGTACACTGCGATTTATAAACCCCTTTATGATACCCCAATAACTATATAGTTAATGGGGTTTATAAACCAATCTATAATTGGGGGGCCAAAAACATTGTAGATACGACTGTGATGGTGCCCAATTTTGACCTATAGCCATTTGTTTACTGACCAGCCCTAGAAACTGTCCATGTTCTTAGCTAATAAGTCTTTTTCCTACAAAAACAAGGTTAAGGCGCCTGTAGGGCGACCACGCTTTCTGCGTCATTTATATGTGACTTTGATCCTGTTTTCGATTCACATCCCATTATTTACAGTGTTTTGGTACATGCCATCTTCAAATGCTTCGTGTGGAAGCGTCAAAAGTGCTGTAGGCGCGCCTCATTTTTTCAAAATCTTGTGTTTGGCTATAGCGAAAACGTCATTTCTGACTAAACATTTCTTTCGAAAACTTCATCTCATGCCCATACGTGTTTTGCTAAGCTCCTTTTTTTCACTTCTTGCTTGTCTTCTACTGGTTATTTCTGGTAACCCAAGGCGTCATTCACTTTGGACATCAAAGCTCCTAAACTTTCTAAAACATCGGATCCTTCACTCGAGATCCAGTGTCTCCAGTACCACATCCATACATAGCGCTGCAAGCGCAAGCGGCAAGCGCATGGCATCCAGGGACAACTGTCGAGTACTCAAAGTGCGAGGCAAAGTTCTTTTGAGTGAATCCCAAATTCTGTCTAACACCTGAGTTCCTCCCAAACGATTTCCCTGAACGTTAACATGCCCCCCCCCACCCCATGTATGCAACGTAGCATCGGCACCGTATGCACTTCACCTGAACGTTAACATGCCCCCCTTCCCACCCCATGTATGCAACGTAGCATCGACACCGTATGCACTTCACCTGAACGTTAACATGCCCCGCCCCACCCCATGCATGCAACGTAGCATCGACACCGTATGCACTTCACCTGAACGTTGACATGCCCCCACCCCACCCCATGTATGCAACGTAGCATCGACACCGTATGCACTTCACCTGAACGCTAACATGCCCCCCCCCCCCCCATGTATGCAAAGTAGCATTCGGACACTGTATTGCACTTCACCATGAACTTAACATGCCCCCCCCCACACCATGATGAAAACGTAGAATCGACACCGTATGGCACTTCAATGAAAGTTAAAATGCCCCCCCCCCACCCCATGATGGAAACGTAGCATCGACACCGTATGCCACTTTCACAGAACGTTAACATCCCACCCCACCCCATGTAGCAACGTACATCGCACACCGTATGCACTTCACATGAACGTTAACATGCCCCCCCCCCACCCCATGTATGCAACGTAGCATCGACACCGTATGCACTTCACATGAACGTTAACATGCCCCCCCCCCACCCCATGTATGCAACGTAGCATCGACACCGTATGCACTTCACATGAACGTTAACATGCCCCACCCACCCCATGTATGCAACGTAGCATCGACACCGTATGCACTTCACATGAACGCGAACATGCCCCCCCCACCCCATGTATGCAACGTAGCATCGACACCGTATGCACTTCACATGAACGTTAACATGCCTCCCCCACCCCATGTATGCAAC